TGATGCTCCAATATGGTATGCAATATTATTTTTGAATTTTTGCAATATTAGTGCAATTTAACCGATTATAGCAGGTCATGACGCTGTTTAAGAGGTTGTTATATCAGGGTTGACATGTAGAGTTACTTGTTGTTTTAGGTCAACTTAACCGGATCCTGACTCGAGTTTAAGCTCTATGCACTCACAGTGTAATATTTATTTATACAGTAAGGCAGTGTTGTCAAAGGCAAAAAGCTCTGAAGCGTAAAGCAATTTAAGTGTGGGCTTAAGTTATAAAAGGCGCAATGCAGGAAAAAAATAAAAATATATATGTAATTTAAGAGAAAAGTAGCAAACTCATTCATATTGTTTTCCTTAACAACTAATACACTTATTTGCCGATTATATTTGTAGTCTAGTATTTCTCCATTTAAGATAGAACTCATGGACAATAAGGCGCACGTCTTGGTGCCTTGCCTACACTGAAGCTCAACTTAAGTAAGGCGAAGCGCCCTACCTGAGCTTTTCTGAGCTTTAGGGCTTAAGCGCGCCTTAAATGAGCCTTTGACAACACTGCAGTAAGTTATTTATAAGGCAGTTACATAAATGTCTATGATAAGCTTTAATTAGTAATCTTATAAATAATAACTAACTTGCTGTCACAGGTAAACCTACACTAATAGCACTGGCGGAAGCAGGATTTTCACCAAGGAGATTAAAAATAAAATAATAAACATGCAAAATAGCCAAGGGGATTCAGCTCCTGATATATATACGTGCAAAAAAAGTTTACATTATATATATAATGTAATTTTCAGTTCAGGGTTCGGCTGAACTCCCTTCCGCCCACCTAGCTACGCCCCTGACTGATAGGGTAAACTATCTATAATAAATCATATTTTAAATGAGGCTCAGTTCAATTCTTGCATCTCTTTTAACCTCATAGGATTTCAATAGTTTGAGATTTATGTTTTCTCTAATATAGCTTGTTGTATCTTGTAGGCAAGAATAGCTTTATGTGGTTAGGGCCAAAACCAACAATGTTTATCACAGACCCTGAATTAATAAGGGAGATTTTGTCAAAAAGTTATATATACCAGAAAATTCAAGGCAATCCAATCACTAAGTTGCTAGCACAAGGGCTAGCAAGTTATGAAACAGAGAAATGGGCAAAGCATAGAAGAATTATCAATCCTGCATTTCACCTTGACAAGTTGAAGGTAGCTTTAACATCCTAAATCACTTGAATACTATCCTAATTAATTATTTTGTTGTTCGGTTTCGTTGTCTCTCCTTGAGCTGAGGGTCTATCGGAAACAGCCTCTCTACCTTCACGAAATAGGAGTAAGGTCTGCGTACGCGCCACCCTCCCCAGGCCCCACTTGGTTGGATTACACCGGGTTTGTTGTTATTATTGTTATTGTAATTATCCTAATTAATCTTTATTAGTTTATTGATGAGCAACTCTTTCTGGGATTTTACTGGGTCGTTGTCGTCGTCGTCGTTGTTGATGAGTAGGAAATATTAGTTGTTTTGTCCTGATATTACTAATGCACATCCTAAAACACATATGCTCTAAATGAGATCTATTATAGGAATATCATTAGCATATCTTGTGGTAGCTGATCTAACCAGGTTTCAGGGGCAAAGCTACGGCCTATCAAGGATGGTCAGTTGACCACCCTTCGTCGAAAAATTATATTGTGTATATAGGTAAAATATTAGGTTTTAGATGTATATTACATATATTGAACACCCTTTATCAAGAAATTTTTTCACTTTTTTCAAGTTTGAAGTTTGAACACTCTTGAGGATATCTCTGGCTTCGTCACTACCAGGTTTCGTGGTTTAGCAGAACCCAATGCTTGGGGTTGACCCTTGTATATGTGTGGGAAATACGTATGACTAGAATTAAATGTACATTTCAAAACTCACAACGTCTAAATTCTGGATTCACCACTGTTGTTCTGATAAATCTTAATGTGATCACGTCGTATCCTAGCATGAACAATACATAGAGTGGGATGATTGTGATCTTTCAATGCTAATGTTATAAATGAGAAGGGAAAAAAGTCTTATTGGGTCATTAACTATGATTGTTTCTTTGGTGTATGCAGCATATGCTACCATCATTCTACTTGAGTTGTTGCGACATGCTCAGAAAATGGGAAGGTATAGTTTCATCAGAGGGATCAGAGATAGACGTGTGGCCTTTTCTGCAAACGTTGACAAGCGATGCCATTTCAAGAACTGCTTTTGGTAGTAACTATGAAGAAGGGAGACAGATATTTGAGCTTCAAAAAGAACAAGCTAAGTTGATTTTACAAGCACTGCGATGGCTTTACATCCCCGGATGGAGGTAAACTCGATTTACAACTTATATACAGTTTCAAGAAAAATAGTTCTGCGACTTAACTATCATGTTGAGTAAACTCGACTTACAGTTTTGTGACTTTACTGTTATAGTGGAAAATGATCATACATGAAATTAACGCTTTGTTTTTGGCTTAGATTTGTGCCAACAAAGAGGAACAAGAGGATCAAGCAAATCGCTAAAGAAGTACGATCATTAGTGTTAGGAATAATCAATAAAAGAATAAGAGAAATGAAAGCAGGGGAAGCTGCAAAAGATGACTTACTGGGAATACTATTGGAATCTAATTTCAAAGAAATGCAAATGCGCGGAAACAAGAACTTTGGTATGACTATCGACGAAGTGATTGAAGAGTGCAAGTTATTTTACTTTGCTGGGCAAGAAACTACTTCAGTTTTGCTTGTATGGACTTTGATTTTACTGAGTAAGCATGTTGATTGGCAAGAAAGAGCTAGAGAAGAAGTTCGTCAAGTCTTTGGAAGTGACAAACCTGACTATGACTTATTGAATCAGTTGAAAGTTGTAAGTACCGTCAATATCCACCATACTAGTTTTTGCTATCCAAAATTTGGTATTTCAGTATTTTTACTACTTAGCATGTACCACGTCTTCCTTCAAGGGGAGCCTTGGCGTAACTGGTAAAGTTGCTACCATGTGACCAGGAGGTCACGGGTTCGAGCTGTGAAAATAGTCTCTTGCAAAAATGCAGGGTAAGGCTGTGTATAATAGACCCTTGTGGTCCGCTCGGACCCCCGCATAGCGGGAGCTTAGTGCACCGGACTGCCGTTTAGCCTGTACCAAGTCTAAATGGATGAGGGTCGGGGGTAGGTTGACAACCAGCGTATGATTAGTCAATTTACGATGCATCCTCACAATACATTATTTTCTGGCATAACTGGTAAAGTTGTTGTCATGTGACCAGGAGGTCACGGGTTCGACCCGTGGAAACAGCCTCTTGCAAAAATGCAAGGTAAGGCTGTATACAATAGACCCTTGTGGTCCGGCTCTTCCCCGGACCTCGCGCATAACGGGAGCTTAGTGCATCGGGCTGCCCTTTAGCCTGTACCAAGTCTAAATGGATGAGGGTTGGGGCTAGGCTTACAACCAGCATATGATTAGTCAATTTATGATGAATCCTCACAAGATAGTGTTTTTACTACTTACTTTTACAGGTAACGATGATATTCAACGAGGTTTTAAGGTTGTACCCACCGGCAATTATGTTTGGTCGAACTGTACATGAGGATACCAAATTAGGGAACTTGTCCTTGCCAGCAGGGATGCTACTTATGTTACCTGCAATTTGGTTGCATCATGACAGTGAAATATGGGGAGATGATGCAAAGGAATTCAAACCAGAAAGATTTAGTGAAGGAGTTAATAAAGCAACAAAGGGTAAGTTTGCATATTTTCCGTTTAGTTGGGGACCAAGAATATGTATTGGACTGAATTTTGCTATGTTAGAGGCAAAAATGGCACTTGCATTGATTCTACAACACTATGCTTTTGAGCTCTCTCCATCGTATGCACATGCTCCTCATACAATTATCACTCTGGAACCTCAACATGGTGCTCCTCTGATTTTGCGCAAGCTGTAGCGCGGATATATAGATTGGTTACTAAAATATCTATTTCGGTTTTTTGGTCGTAGAACCTTCTATCTTTCTTTGTACTTTTTTGCTTTTAGATGACAGTGTTGTCCGTGCTAGCTTGTGCGCTCGTCTCTTTCTTTGTACTTTTAAGAGTCCATCACCTTTTCCTTTCTTTTGGTTTATGCAGTATACTCCCTCGAATTTTCTGTTTCTGGTGCATGACTTGGTTGTTCAAAATATGCTCAAGACACCTTTCAAAGTCTTACATTGGAACTGTTCAAATGTTTCATCCAAAATACTGAGTTTTTCCCACAGTAGACAGAGTTACCTAATACATGTTTAAAAGGTAGCGAGCAGGTATTGGGTGAGTAGCTTGTCCGAACACCACAGTTATTTTGAGAAAAAGATAATAAGCCGAAGAAGCCGTGGTTCATGCACTATGTTGCTGGGCTAAATTGATCCCAGGCTGTCCAAGCCTTGACCCTTCTAATCACACAATCAATCTATTGGTCACAAGCGATAACACAACTTACCGTTTCATCTCTGCAGCCGTATACTAAGCGATAACACACCGTTTAGATGAAGCAGATCTTCTGCTAAAGAGTGAATTGTTGGGTATGTTGACCCTTAAAATCAACATTTCAGCATACTGAACTGTACCTTGGATTAACCGAGTATCGGTCATAAACAGTAGTTACTTACCTTGGCATATTGCCAAGCAGTCCAATATTCCAATGATATACTGTACTAGTATAGGCCAGTCTCAAGAATAAACAATCATAATATCTCACAATATGAATATCATGAACATTGCATAATACTAACTTCAGCAGAACAGACTATCAGCAGTTCAACTCGAACAAAGACTATTCATGATCTGCAAGATAAGCAGTCAACTAAAAACGAAGAGAAGAGAGAAAAGTGAAGCCAGTATCATAACGCTGACCAAGCAGTCACAATCACCCAACAAAGTAGTACTACTATCAACCGTACCACGACATGAAATAGTCACGGCGGTCAGATACTATCGACTTCAGCAGAATCATACTTGCATATCAGTAAAAACTCCCAACTTCATAGATAATATCATAGTATTTATTCATAGTACCGAAATAGGTCTATCACACGACATACCAGTCATAAAGATCTCACAACATGAAATAGTCACTGGGATTATATACAGCTGACTTCAGCAAAACCATACTGCATATAAGATAATATGATAATAATTATAGATAATATGATAGTACTTAGGCATTTCACTCTTCTAAGGAGCGTATAGCAGGTAACTCCCTATCAACTCCAACTGAACAGATTAAGTTCTTTCATAGCTGCTACACTGCCACATGGATCTTCTTCTCAGTTCTTTCAGCAGACAAGCCACTTCAGAGATGAACGCGACCCCTTTCAGATTGGTCGGACAAACATGATATCATTAGCAACTTCATTTCGTCATCCATCTAGTAAACCAAGAAGAAAAAAAGGAACATTAGGAAGGAAATGATGCAAATATTCCGATCTTCAGAAGACATTGCATGCGAAATAAGATAATTGTTCTATCATCAAATTAAGGAGATCTTTACTGCTAAGCTGATTAAAACTTCACATTCAAAGGACATTCCCACAGACCTGAAGAGCTCCCGATAACTTGTTGCAAAGCACACGAGCGGCCAAGTCAACGGCGAACCCTCGCACACCAGTGCAAGTTTCTTGCTTGACTCTTGCACCGGCATTTATGAGATGAAAGTCACCTTCATATTGCTCAGACAAACTCAAAGAAATTACTGGCAACTTCATTTCTTTATGCAGGCCATCCATCTAGTAAACCAGGAAAAAAGAAACTAACTTTAGAAAGGGGATGATGTAAATCTCCAATATTCAATAGACATTGCATGCAAAAGAAGATAGGTGGCTCGATTAAAAAAGTTGATCTTTACTACTAAGTTAATTCAAAACTTCACACTCGACAACAAGACAAAGTCTATGCCCACTGACCTGAACAGCTTCCAGGAATTTGTCACTAAGAACATGAGCGGCCAAATCAGGCGCAAGCCCTCACACACCAGCGCAGGCTCCCTGCTCCTCTCCTGCAGTAGCACTTGTGAGATGAAAACAACCTTCCCATTGCTCAGACAGATGCGAAGAATTTACTCGCGACTCCATTTCTTCATCCAGGTTATCCATCTAGTAAACCAGGAAAAACAAAAGAACATTAGAAAAGAAATAAAGGCAAATATTTATAATCTCCAAGAGAAATTGCACACAAAAGAAGATAGGTGGTTTTGATCATCAAAGTTGGTCTTTACTGCTAATTTGATCATAACTTCACATTCGAGAACAAGACGACGTCTCTGCCAACTGACCTGAAGAGCTCCCTGTAATTTTTCACTAAGCACAAGAGCAGCTGGGCCACGCGAGAGCCCTTGCGCACCAGTGCAGGCTTTCTGCTCCACTCCTGCACTGGCATTTGTGAAGTTGCTTAATTGCTATTCAGAATCTTCATAAAATTCACCTTCGTCAGAAAGGTCATCAAAAGCTCGAACATCAAGCTGGTAACGGAGAATCCCTCCAATGCCACCAAAACCACGGCAAAACTGAGATCCTTCTTGTGATTTATTGGTAACAAACTCCAGACTACAACCAAACCTCCTGTACCCATTCGCAAACCACTCAAGCAGTGGCAATTTATCCTGAATTTCTAATTCTGCATTCGTAGCAGGGTCACGGAAGTTACTTTGGACAGTGTCTTGCTCCTTATTCAAGTGTTTGATGACTGTTTCTCCAGAAGTGTTATTTTTCAGCACATACCTAGTCATGTCCAGATTTTCCCACACAATAAGGGTCTCAATAGCACCCATTTCCAGAACTTTCAATGTGTCATCAACCCCAAAAACATACTTCCCAGTGTCCTGACTAATCTCCTCAAAATACTTGCCTATCAATTTCTTCTCTTGTATAAATTTCACATTGGCCAAGATCTCAGCAGACAACTCAATTGCTTGATTGAAACCATTTTCTCCTCCATAAGAAACATCGACCACATTCAATATTTTTGCCTGAAGACGAGGATCAAACATATCAGACTGGCTAAGCTCAGTCTTAAAGTCAGCTGATCCAGCTAGTATCAGGCCTGAAACATTGGGCTGACTGGTGGCAGTATTAATATAAAATTGGGTTGCAAGCTCCGCCGTTTTCCTCACATAGTTGTGTCGTTTCTCCATCCGAAGACGAGCAAAACGCAGTGCTGACTGTCCTCCTCTTCCGTGCTTTTTGGGCAGATCAACACTAAACTTGTGAAGAATCTCCCTGGTATTGCCACTCAATGTCCCGAAAAGTGTCCCATTTCCATCCATTATAATAAATCCAAACTTGTCATCAGATTCCAAAAGTTCATTCATGGCTTCTGTGTGGAACTTGTTATCACAAAGATATAGAGATGCGTTAATGGGCCTGAAGGGCTCAAAATCAATTGTGACCTTCTTCTCTTTCCCATCTTCGGTCATAATCGTTCCAGTGTAAAGCACAAGCCCATTTGGTGGAACCTTGTTATAGAGTTTAAGTCTCTGCTGAGCAGATGTGATTGCACCCAACACAGATTGACGATTAACTCTACTTTTAATGTTCGATGCAGTTCCGAACTCATCTCCAAGCATCTTAGTTACCCTAGATACTTGATCCCGTGGAGGCATGATTAGAGAAATCATGCTGGTACCATTGCCTCGAGCAGCTTCAAGTGCCTTTATAAGTTTCTTAATCTTCCATATCTCGATATTCTTATCATTATCATGACCGTCAGCCATCATTGTATACCAAACTGTAGTTCAAGAGAACAAAAAATAATCAGATTTTAGTACACAAACAAAGACTAAAATAAGTAAGCTAACACCAAGTGACAACAAATGCCCAAGCCTTCAAATAAGCAATCAATGACAGCTATTGAGTGCTAAACTTACGATGGGCATGACTAGTTTTGTTACTAATCCCAAATTCTATGGTACAGATACAATGTCCAATTAGAAGATCGTATAGGAACTTCAGTGAGCTTGTAAAACTACATCCATTTCCCCAATTCCAGAACTAACATCTATGTGTGTGGATAATCTTCAAGAGTCATTCTTTGTTTAAAGGGCCTAGTGTTTACAGGGGCTGATAAGTAGTTTACAGGGGCTAATATATCGATATAACAATGGAAACTAAAACTATGTTTGATCACTGCCTCATGGATTACCAAATATACATCTGGATATAATAAAAAATTAGAATCTTATGAAAGTTGACCCGAGGGTCTACCGGAAACAGCCTCTCTACTTCCTAAGGGTACGGGTAAGGTCTGCATACACACAACCCTCCCATACCCCACTTGTGGGACCCCACTGGGTTTGCTGTTGTTGTTGTAATCTTATGAAAGTTGATTTTTTCCTGAAGCGAATCTTATCACAGCTATTACAAAATCTTCTATTTCTGTCCTTTTAGGGGAAAGCTCTTTCTTTTATCCCCCCAAAAGTCTTCCAAGATACCCTTTTTTGTGATGTATCTTCTAAGAGATTTAACTTCTTTTCTTGGATGATTAAATAATAACCGGCAATACATACTTCTCTCCACTCCATAGCACCTCCTACTTCACACCTTGTAAATTAACAAATCAATCGGCTAACTCAACCCCCCAGGGAGATTAACACAACATGAATACTTGACAAACAGAAAGCTAATTCACTTGATGCTTTTCAAAGAGATAACATACCAAAGCAAGACGAATCAGTAGGTGGATTCAGTGTTTTATCCAAAAAAATTATCAATCAAGTCAAAACCAATAAATTAAATGCCTTTTATAAAACAAGGATGGAGAATTTTTTACCAACCTTCCACGAACACTATAGTACACATTAAATTACTCAACTTTAACAAATTTCTCAGCCAGATTTTGCAATTTCGTACAATAAATTCTATTTTTTCTTACGATGTTGGTGTCCGATCTATGACTATGCCGTCGAGTACCTGCTACCTCCCACCAGCACAGGTACCAAGTAACTCTGCCAACCACGGTTTATCACTAGTGTCTTTTCACTCCATTGGGATTTAATTTCCTACAACAATTTTTTTAAAATGACGTTGGTATCCGGGCCAGCTTGCGCGCAGCTCGACTATTCCATCGGATTCCTAATACCTCCCACCAGCACAAGTATCGAGTATCTTTACGCACCAAGCTTAGCCAAGGTAAGAGATCACTAGTGTTTCTTTTCTTTTTTCTTTTTTTTTTTTTGCATCCGTTGGGATTTAATTTCCTACAATAAATTCTGTATAATCCCTGCACAAATTTTCACAAAAAATAAACAGCCTTAATTCTCCTTGATTCTACCATTTTCTCTGATTAAACCAATTTCATTAATCATAACCACGTTTAAGATCACTTTGTTTAAAGGCGCTCACTAACTTCTCCAATAAAAGTAACTCATATAAAATAGTAGGAGTACTAGATTTTAAGCAATAATCACTAATCATAATCATCAGATTCATAATCCAACAAAACAACATAACCTAATCACTTCACCTAGTTAGATCAATAAAACATAACAAAAAAGAAAAACAAAAAAACATATATTAATAAATAAATAAATTAATCACTGATCAAGGAAACACAAAATTCATGATTTTTACAACAAAAATAAATAAATCGAAAACGATGAACATACCTTAGGGAGAAGTAAGACGAGAATTTGTCAAGAAATAAAGAGAAAAATAGAAAGAGAGACTGACACGGCAGTTATGGAATTCTAAAGAGAACAGAGGAGTGTTTTGTATATATAGTTATTCTAATTGGGCCCCACAAAGAAATATAAATACCGACTTTACTTCCCTAGATATTTTCTTTATTTTCTTTCTCTCCCACAATATAAATAGGGGTGAGTGTTGGGGCAGTTCGGATTGCATATGAAATTTTAGTTTGATTTCAGTTTTCGGATTGACGAAATAACAATTATTTGGATTGGATCGAACTTTTTCAGTTCGGCTTCAGATTAATCGGTTTGGATATTTTGAATTTTCGGTTTTGAGGTTATAAGTTGAGATGTTTCTTGTTTTACAAAAATGAATATCCAAATGAAGTATTAATATTAATTACATGAAAAGTTCCTCATTCTCACCTCAATCATCCAAATGAAGTATTAAAGTAATAATATTATTATATAAAAAAATAAAAGATACAATAGAAGCATTAATACGGCATATAAGAAGTAGAAATAGTAAAACCATTTCAAATAGAAAGCATTCTCATAGTAACGTAGTAATTAATATTGAATATATGAGATAATATCTAATGGATAGGGTATTGAACTTATTACTATTGACATATGGATAATTGACTAAATATAAAGTATAAGAATTTGAATTTTCGGATATCCAAAAATTCAAAGTACCAAATCCAATATCCAATCCGAAATTCAAAAAATTTAAAAATTAAATCCGAAATCCAATTTGTAATCCGAAAATCCAAACCAAAAATTCAAGAAATTCACATTTCAGTTTGGTTTTCGGGTTTGCCCAAACTAAACCTACCCCTAACTAGAAAAGTAACAAGAATAAGTAATTTTTTTTATGACAATAATATTCGGATCATCTCACGTGCATTTAAAATAAGCAAGTACTTATTTTAAATCTTGTTTTAAAAAAATGAATTTTAAAAAGAAAGGAGCTTGAAGGGTGTTTTTCTTTAGTGTAAAATTATGTATTCTTTATTTATATGAAATTGTAAAAAAAATCGAGAATATTATGGATGGTATTAGCTGAATTTGGACATGAATTGGTTGAATTTGAAAAAAAAAAAAAAAAAGGAGTACTTGATGTTGAAGTTGAAAACGGATATCTAGAATTAAATTTCTAGTAAATATGTATTTACCTTCCGTGTTTACATCAAATCAAATAATTTAATTTTAGCAGTTCAAAATTAAAGTGAAAATATATATCAGTTAATTATTATTAAGTAATAAATATATTTGTTAATAAATATATTTGTTAAGGAGCACTTTACTCTCCTAAATATGAATTTTTTACGTAAATCTAAATTTTATCGAATTTCAATATAAATACCGGGTAGAAATCCAAAACAAAATGGAACATGGAATGTTGAGCTAAGAAAAACCTATAAAGCTGGGAAATGATGAAGAGCATCACTCTTTTGTATGATAAAACTATTGATGCCAAATCAATGATATAAATTCTGCTGACATATCAGAAAAGTTATCTTATGCAATAATGAAAAAAGAGATTATTTCTAAAAATTTAAGATGTAATTTGAAGAAATCTTCCCCTTTTCTTTTTTCTTTCTATAATCCAGAAATTTAGGAGGAGCATTAACTGACATTTTTAAACTGGATGAATAATAGGCTCATCTTTGTAGTCTTCCCTACTTCAATACAGGGGCGGCTCAAGTGTATATGGGGCCTAAGGCGAAAGTTTAATATGAGGCCTTATTTTTCATTGTTTGTCAAAAGTTTGTCAAGAGCTCCTTTTTGAGATTTTATTAAATTTTTAATTTTTCTTTTCTTTTGTATTTTTGAATACCCAGATGCATATTTTCTTGTTGACATATTTATATTCTAAAAAAAATTAAACAATATGTACAAAGTAAAATTAATAAAATAATAAATAACAAATAAAAGTAATACTAGAAAGTTAGAGTGATATTACCCAATGACTGACTGATTCAAGAGTTTGAAGACTTTGATTCCAAAATATCTAGTTGTTGGCTTGTTGAAGTCTTGGAGAAAGAAATAAATCCAGTAGAAAGAATTAAGAAGATGAGCATGAATCATGAATAAAGAGGAAGGAAGAAGATGTCTTCTGGAATATGAAGAATGAATGGATACTAGCACTAGAATTGAAACTGGCTAGGGATTACTTGGAAGAATAAAAAGTAGAGTTGTCAAATCAAATCAAAGTGACAATTATTTCCTACTATTTTAAACTTTAATTTATTAATATATCTAAAGTTTTTCTTTCTTTTATATGAAAAGTACAAAAGTACTATATACTTAAATTTGTTTTTTAAAAGAAAAACCTATAAAATATACTCCTTATTCCTAAAAAAATGGGACCCCTAAAATTGGGGGCCTAAGGCACTTGCCTTACCCCATTCTATGTTAGAGCCGGCCTTGCTTAAATACTAGGCTTTTCTATGTAGTTGTGACAGGATTCTATACCGTGAAATGTGCAAAATCTATACATCAAGTACCTGTTGCGCTAGAGGCGGATCTACCTGGAACAAGCGGAATTATGTGACACACCGCTTCTTCGATATTTTTTACTATTTTTTCATATATAATTCAAATGAAAAAAAGTAAGAAAACGGTAAAATATAATAAAATGATACCGCTTGTCACAAAGAGCTGAGTAGCTTATGAAGTTGGAGTTTGAAAATTGGAATTTTTACATTCCTATACACTATATGAAACTATATTACCCTCCCTACTCAAGTTTCACTATAATTACATTTTATATACCTAATTACCATTTATGTACATTTTAAGGGAATTAATGGTATTAACTACTGTCCTAAAATAACTCTACCGTATATTCCCACTCCCCCCACGTTTCTCTCTCCACATCCCACCCCCTCACCCACGTATCTTGCACTCACTCACGATTTTCTCTTCACAAATCTCAGAAATCCTCCATTAACGCCTATTTCATCTCTTCTTCAAAAACCAGACGAAATTGGGACTCTTATTCAAAATTCCTACCTCTATTAAAGTCTCTGATTAGCTTGATTTTCAATGAAGAAGAAGATATCTTCAAAAAACAGCCCTACAAAAGACAAAGGAGCCTTCATTTGATTTGGGTGTTTTCTCAGCAAATTCACCCAAAAAGGCTTCAAAATCAGCTCATGCAAAAGAAGAGAACAAGCCCAAGCTTTCCCCACGTGAAGCTAGGGCAGAAGCTCGAACAAAGCAAAAGCACGATATTGATGCTGGTGAATCATCGATACTTGTCAAATCTGCGAAAAGGAAAGGCAAAGAGATTGATTTCGATGATGATTTCGTCGAAGAAAAAGCTGCTATTAAAGTTGCAAAAAAAGTTAGAGTGTCTCCTAATGTAAAAGCTTCAAAAAAGAAGAAAATTCAAAAATCTACTAAAACTGTTCCTCAACAGTCATTGGTGAAGGTAAGAATTTATTAGTTTCAAAAATAAATTTTGATAAAAGCTAAAAAATTTATTCTCATTCTTATGATCCTATATAATGTTTGATTTTGTAGTTTGTAAAAATTTTATCTACATTGTGTAGATTTGTTGTAGATTTATAATTCATGATTGTAGATATATTTTTATATAAATGTTTTCCTTGTTTTGACTCTGTTTAAAGATTGTAGAAATTTGGTAATAAAACTTTAGTTGTATTGTTATATGTTTTTGACTCTGTTATGTATTGTAGCTATATTGTATTAAAAATGTAGATAGTTTGTTTTTTAGGTTTGAGCCTTGTTATAATAAGGAATTTTTCCTTTTGCTGCAGATGAACCTTTTTTGCACCTCATAATATTCATTATGGGTCTCGTTAGGTTTCAGACATTATCTGACCCCAGTATTCCTGGCCAAATCAAAGATTTATTGTCTGCAAATTGTTTAAAGCTTTTCAAGAAGACATGTTTTGGTTATTTGCTTTCATTGCCCAGAATATGTATGCAAAATCAAGCAATTCATCTTATAATGAAGTATGAATTAAATGCATCTGGTTCTGACTATTTTTCAGCAGAGATAAAGGGTCAGAGGTTGAATGTTGGCTTGAGAGAGTTTGCGTTGATAACTGGTCTAAAATGTTTTACGGAAGTGACATACTTTGGTTACACACCTACATATGACAGTAAAATAATGAGAAGCTATTTTCCAAACAAGAAAAAAGTTGAGAAGTCATACTTAAAACAAATTATAACCACCAAAAGTTGGTTGGACGACGATGATGCAGTCAAGTTGTGTATTCAATATCTCATAGAATTCTTCCTCTGTCCTTCAGACAAAGACAATGTAGGGTTGGTAGACCATTTTAGATTTTATTTGGTGGACTCGGGACATTATGCGAACTACGCATGGAGTATTGATTCTTACAAACAGTTGCTTCAGTCTGTTAGGCACAAGCTCAATCCTTCTGTTCATTCTTATCTCATTTGAGGATTTGCACTAGCTATGCAAATATGGTTGTATGAGTGTTGCTCTACCGTCAACACTGATATAGCTACAAGGGTTGCTAATTCTATCCCTCGCATACTTAGCTGGTCAGCTAGTAAGGACAAGATATGGTTATCTTCAATTGAAGATAGAATGATCAAACCAGCATGGATCAAGGTAAATGGTTTTTAATTATGAGCAGACAATTTAATACAAACTATCTACAACTTTTATACATATTTATTGATACCCAATTTTTCCCTGTATATTTTTATATGCAAAATAATTTCAAATAGTATATATATGCATATATAGGTGTGTCCAAATATTTTAGTATTTTTCCTAATTTTTAAACCCATTTTTTGCCCTATTTTAACAGTACAAAACTAATAATTATTCCCAAAATTATCATTTTTGGTGATTCACTTATTTATCCTCATATTTACACCAATATATAGCTAAGGTAATTTTTTTACACATTTTTATAAATTGATTTGGTATTTTTAAGCTAAATTTGCACTAATTACAATTTTAGCCTATTTTAAGATTTGAGTGGCGTTTATAATTATAAAATTTACTCCAGTATTTTTAATTTAATGATTATATATTATTAATTAA